ACAGGAAGGTGCTTGGCCACATAAATCCATGGTCATTCTGGGCCTCTAATGCCAAAAGTAACTGTTGAATACTTAAGCGAGAAAGATCAAATAATCACCAAGTTTTAAAGACTAATCTTAAGGTTTTGTTTTGTAAATCCTGGCCCAAAGTATTTGAGGCCAGAGGCTACAAAACCTCTTCAAGCTCATCCCTTCACACACTCTTCTTTTGAGGTAGTTGAATATTTTTATTTAGTTAATTTCCTGGCTTATATGAATCTCCTGAGATGCATTCTAAGATCCTGCAAACCTAGTTTATAAAACAACACATTCTGCCTGAGATTTTTCTACAACCTCATTATAATTATGACAAGTCAACCTGGAAACTCTTAAAGGGAAGACTTGATACAGAGCCCAGTTCCATATTACGTTTCCACCAGTCCAAGTGCCTGCCTTTTTTTGCCTTCCTCTTTTACCCACCAGCCACGAGTTCTCACACCCAGCCCAATGTCAGCTTTGGCAGCTGTGAAGCAGCAGAGATGCTTAGCTCAGCTCACTGATCTGGAAGAACAGTTGAAAGTCAGACCACAGGCTGTCACTGAAAGGCTAAAGTGAATTAAGTTTAGTGTGAAACTGCACCTTTACATTTTGGGAAAGCTGCAGAAAGGCAGCTTCTTCAGAAATAAGAGAAATAAGATATGCTGCTGTTCTGCAAGCAGTAAACCAGACAGGACAGGGCTGCAACATCTAGTCCCAGCCTTTTAGACACAGCCTTACTCAACAGAGAATAGAAGGTAAAGCACCCTGCAGTCACAATTAGAGACACATCCTCAAAGGTTTTAGCCTTCTGTATGAAAGGTGATCAGGTTGGTCTAGCCAAGCTTACCATTCTGAAGGTACTGCTCCAGTTGAGATCATCTCCCATCTGCCATTGAATTGGTCATTGCCAGGTAAAACCTTAGAGGAAAAGCAGGCACAGCCAGCCAAAGGAAAGCTACAGATCAGTGAAGAAACAGTCACAGTTTCCAAGGAATTTTCAATGCTCTCTTGTTTTGACAGTGAGACACGATGACCTACAAAGGGCACAGGGTACCCACCCAGCACCTCCCTGGGGGCCATCAGGGACCACAGCAAGGGCAAAGCTTTTGCCTGGGCAACCACCAGAAGCAGCCCAACTGAGCAGCCTCTTTTGACAGGTTTCTCATTTTCAGTCTTACCACCTCTGATCTCCTGTTCCGAGACAGAAAAGTAGCATTGTATTAACCTTATCAGCTAGGTCTTATACACCTCATGGACAAACAAGGTACAGTTAGAGATGTCTTCTTTTCCCAATACGTCCATACAGGATTTCTTTGATCTATATCCACAGAACTACATTTTAAGAGCTGGTGAGTTCTGCCCTTGATTAGTGCTACCTCAGATGCTTTTATTATTTTGTCTGTGAGAGGTAGTAACTTTTATCAGATAATCTAATACTGTCAAAGAAAAAAAAAAAACAAACCCAAACCACACATACACATAAAACCCCAAACAAACAAAAAACAGAGACTCTTTCAGGAACACAAACTACCTGAAAGTTTGATTCTTGCTCCAGCTGTATTAGCTGGCTAACAAGAGCATGATGTCTTTGTATAAACACTACCACTGCATGTATAACCACACCTGTAAGGACTGGAGAACCACAATTACCTTATGCTAACACAAGCAGTTATAAGATAAATTTGGGCAGTAGTTGGTCACTTGGAAGTGTAAAAATTCTCTGCCATAGGCAAATTATCTCAAGAGAAGGATTAGCTATTTCTTCACCTAAATAAAATCAATATAGCATCTGATCAGGAAAATGAGACTCCTGTAGTTTGCTGAGACATTCCTACTAATTAAATTTTAAGCACCAGTATTCAACTCAGCAATTAGCATCATTAAATCCTGTGAAAAATGACATTTTCCCTCTGGCCCCAGCTGCCCTTGTCTTTCACATTACTTCAGCAACTGAAGCTTGAAGAAAAACCAAAGTTTACTCCTGCAAGAATTAGCAATACGTTTTCCTGCCCATTGGTTAAAACCAGGAGTAAGGCATATTCTGACAGATCCACTTTCCCTACAGTGGCCACACATTGCCAGTTCTGAGTTCTTGTTTATTAGATATGCATGAACCACTCAAGAGATACAGTAGCAAAAAGAGTTAGGTAGCACTACATGCTTTGGTTCTGTGTAAAGCTAAGCGTAATAGCTAAGTATAGAGGGCTTTTAATCTCCAAAGTCCTTCATGTATGTGATCTTCCCCCAGGGACTGAAAAATATTATCTCTGCTCCACAGGCAGGCAAACTGAGGAGATACAGCAAAAAAAAACCTGCCAGAAGTCAGAAAGGCAGAGCTACACTGACAACAAGGAGGTCCCTTCTCTTCCCTCTGTGTTCAGGCCATGCCTCACCTACACAGAGTGGTACCATCTGTTATCATCTGTTTGCACAAGCTGAGACTCTGGCCTACTTAGAGTAAAATAAACTAAAATGAATTTATCTCAGTGACAACTGCTTGGTCAGTTTCCTGAACCACAGTTGTGTGTCCCCAAGATTTGGGCTACAAAGAAAAGAAACTTCTCCCACCAATTAAAGAAAACTACCTGTCAACTAAGTGTGTATTTGTGTACAGTGCTGAAAGTCCACCAGACTATCAGCAACCAGCATGGAATTTCATTCTAGCAGAATGAAACTGGACAGCATTTGTCTTCACAAACTCAATCTACATTACAAATGCAAGTCATCAATGCTATACCTGGTGGTGCCAGGTGCCTGCTGCCCTGCCACATGAAAGCCACAATAAGAGATGGATCCCCTACCCAAAACCTGCTGCTGACCTTCCCTCTTCTTCCCCCTTCAAGGCTTTAGGTTTCTTTCTGCAACCTAAAGCCACCCCACAGAAAAAACATATCTCAGCCCCAAGCACTGCCATTTTCTCTTAGCTGGACCTACCTGACCAGGCAGCTATCCAGATCCATCAGTGCTGCATTTCACTCTTAACCCTACATAGGATGCATCCTATTTACTCCCTGTTTGAAATACAGCAGTGAAAGCTTTAAAAATATGCAAGAAATAATCTGTTCCTTTCAGTCCTACAACAGAACATAGATTCATTATTATGATATTTGTTTAGAGATCAGCTGCCAAACTAAAAAGCCAAACTAAAAAGTACAGTTGTGCAGGAATCTGTCCACAAGGGAAGCTTATTCCTAATTCTTATCCACCACAGAAATGCTGCATGTGTGGGACACACTGATCACGAGGCTTGAATTACTGTATCCTGGAGTTTAAGACTTCTTTATGTGTGCATTTCTCTACCTTAACAAAATATTTAAAGCAAAATAAGCAGAACAGGATGTAATGATTATAGACAAGCATCTCGCATAAGGATAGAGAAGGCAATTAAGGGACAGCAGTGTAGTTGTAAGCTTCAAGACAGAGTATGGCAGTTGCCAACAGCAGGAATGAAGCAATTAAAAATAAAAATCACCTAACAAGTTGTAAAGCCCAGCAAGGGGCAAACTGTTAGTAACACAGTATGCAGGGAAGGAGAAGATTTTGCTGAGCGTGTTAATGAAGTTAAACTCTTGAGCAAGAAACCGTAAGCCTTGAAGAAAAAGCATGCAAATACATAAGCTGGTTTATTAGCTCAGATATGTTATCCAAAATGCTCCATTAACCAAAGCAAAATATTACAGTGAGAGCTCCCACAGGGAAAAGAATTGCAGAGTTTGGGGCACAAAAGCACACCTCAGCAAACACAGCTTCCCGTAGCAACCCTGCTGCTGACTCAGCTGTTTTCTAGCTTTGCAGCTTCAACTGCTTGTTCAGTCACACAGAGTTGGGAGAGATGGATCCATCTCCATCTGGAGTTACCTGGCTGGCTGTAAGAACTGCTCCACAGTGGTTCTATCATTGCAACTGAGAGCACAGAGAGAAGGCTGCCAAGAGAAGGAGAACCTACTTAACCCACTACCACGAGGAGTATTAATCAAACAGGGGCCTAAAATAGGGTTGTCAAAATAAAATGTAAAATAAGGCTGCTCAGCAAGGACGACCCACACTGACAGAAGAGCTGGGAGAGATCTTGTGTGGAGCCAAGGACTGGTGAAGGCCAGAGAGATCAGGCTAGCAAAGAGAAGGCTGGCAGCCATTCTGCTTCCATGAAAAAGCTCAAATCACATGCTCCCTTTTATCATCCTAAAAAAAAAATGAAACAGAGGATAGAGGGGAAAGGGACAGAGGCAACTCAACAAGAAACAAAACAAAAGCAGAAATAAACAGGCAGGGTCACTCTGAAATACTCCACATTATTTCCTAACGCCCACTGTTCCTTTGAATACTCCAGGCCTGTGATCCAGCTGTTTTGTAATTGCCTTTGGGGAAAGGGTCACTCCTGAGGTATCCACTTAGGCAATTCAGGCCAAAGGATCCAACACTCAGTTAACTCCTGCATTGTCCAAAACACCCTGCCTTGACTGTGCAGCTTGCACGGACCGACCTCTACACACTTAGACTTGTTCACAGGGTTAAAGTCCTCTTACAGGAGTGCAGTTGCACCTCTCTCCCAGAGCCCAAGGAAAAGAGGCATTTGGAGCCCACAACTTGGCCAGTGCATCCCACTAAGCCAGCTTACCGTACCCTTCTGTCACATCTCTTGGCTTTCTTTGGATTTGCCTCTCATTTGTTGCTGGATTTCACCCTGCAGACACGAGTGCCACGCAAGCAGAAGCTCTGCCTTTCTAACAGCCCATCACTGAGGGGACCAGGCATATGCTCCCTGCGAGATCAGCATGAAGGAAACTTTAACAACACGCATTTGGGCGGAAACAACTCGCCGTCCTCATCCCACACTGGGTCTGCGAGGGCAAGGAGAGCCCCTCCTGCCCTGCAGCCCTCACGGGGCGCGGCCTGACGCAGATCCCGCCGGTCCCCCTCAGGCTGCCCCGCCGAGGCTTTCCGGGGTGCCCCTCTTCCCGCCATCCCCCGGCCGGCCTCACCCGCGCGTCCCACCGGCGGAGCTGGCTGTACCGCGCCTTGCCGAGCAGGAAGCCCTGCAGACACACCGAGTACACCTGCAAGCACACCGCGCCCGGCCCGAACCACCCCGCCGCCAGCTCCACTCCCCGCGCCCCCCCACGCCTGTCCCGCAGCTCCTCGGCGGCAGCGATGCTGAAGTGCAGCTTCATGGCGGGGCCCAGCCGGGCCATCCCCTCGCGGCTGCGGCGGGGCTGAGGGAGACACCGGGCGGCGCGGGTAGGAGCTGCCGCGGCGCCAGGGGGCGCTGCAACAGCGCGGGCGCTGAGACGGAACGGTCCTTGAGGCGCTATCTCGGCGGCGGCTTTTAATTAACATCCCTCCGGGAAAGGTTAATTAACACCCTCCGAAACAGGGGCCTGTGGTGGGGTGGTTCCGCGGCAGAGCCTTGGTAGGGTGATGGGGGAAGCGAATGGCCTGCAGGGAAAGGGGGCTGGAAGGGCAGCAGGGGTGACGGGCACTGGTCGGTGCGGAGCAGTGAAGCAGGTGTGAGTAGCACAGGGAAGTGGGGTACAAAGTGACAATTCACTATGAAGTGATGATAATTCGCTGGTTTTCAAGGAACAGGAACTAGGAACCAACTGGTGAGAGCGATATGCAGCAAGTTCAGAAGAAAATAAAGTGATTTTTCCCCACAGTGCCTCACTGAAGGTCAAATACAATTAAAACAGCAGGTCCATCTCTGCCATGGGACTTTCATATATCGCTAATTGCCAGACAATAAAGATGAGTTACAATTGCTGTGTTTCATAGTGTATTTCTGGTACCCCTGAAGGAAAAGCGCTGCAGGAACCACTGTGGGAGTTCTCACAGCCTTACCCAAGCAGTGTGAGCTGTTGGGGGCATGAAATGAGTTCATCAGCGTGGCAACAATGCAGCTGAAATGGCTCTGCTGCGGACTGGGACCTGGCATAAGTGCAGTGCTCTGCCCTCACCAAAAGGAAGACAATTACTCCAGGAGGGCCGTGGCTCACTAACTGACCTGGGGAAAACCCTTCCCAGTGGAACAAGAAGTGTTTTTTAACTGTGAGCATTCTTGAGCAAATGGAGAAGACTCGGTAAAATAACATTGTGCAACATGTTTGATAACTTGACTTGTTTCTCTTCTTCGTCTGTGCAAATATAACCAGTCTGATGACTTGTGGAGCACCCATTGTAACCTCCCTGTTACGGAGCAAATGCTGCAGCTCCTGGTGCCACAGCTGCCCTGTTGCACCTGGCAGATGAGGCACCCATGCTCTGGGAAGCTTCGGAAGAACTTTCTTTCCCCTCCTGAGCAAGGCTGTGTGCATCCTTGTTTGCATACCAGGCCACTCTTGTAGCTGGGATGTGGCAAACATGGCAATTCCCCATCGTTACTTGTAACCCAGGAGACAAAGTGGCTGCAGAATCAGTTTGATGGAAAAAACCGGGGGTACAGGCAGGCAGAGGAAAGCTCTTTGCCCTGGGACATGGGCAGGAATTTTCCACTTCTGCTGCCATTCCAGGTTGGTGGTCTCTTCTCATCTGCCTGAATCTGGTTCCCCTCTGGAAAACTATGGGAGGGACAATGAGCACCCTTTTGTGGCAAATCTCTCTAACAGTGGCAAGGGACAGGATTAAGCAACCTTCTGCCTACAGATGTGGCAATGCGATATGTTGGGGGGGCACTTTTTGAACTGTAATCCCTGTTTTATGTCATCTGCTGACTTCAGGTTTAACCTAGAACATGTGTAACCCAAGGTCCCAGTTACCACAATGTGATACAACCAGTTAACATGCCCTGGACATTATTTTTGTTTTCTGGATGCTCAGATATCAAAAGGAAACATTTATGTGCCCTCAGAGCTATAAGAAAGTACATACCTCTGGACAGCTATATCCAGCTGGAACATGACTTGATCAGGGATGTTTCTTTAGCAGATTATGTGGGAAGCAAGAGACTCCTCTTAGTACTTACTGTGCAACAGGCCAGTTATGTTGGCCCAGCTTGTCATTTCCTTCTTTCTTAATGATTACATTCAACCCCAATACAAGTGAGAAATCTAAGTTTCAGATTATTTTGTTGAAAACATTTTTCCCTTGCTCTTGTTGCCCAAATCCGGCTACCTGTGCTCCTTGTGGCCTTACTGCAGCTGAAAATATGTTTCAAATTTGTATACACTTCAAAGGCCATGCCCTAAGGATCCGCAACCCTGCCAGCTGCGTTTTCCTGTGGGTACAGCTGCTATCTGTCATTACTGACCGCATTCTACAGAAGGTAAAAAGCTTTCCTTCTCAGAGGTGGTTGTACCACAAGGACTCGCAGTTGCCTAAGGAACGTCATTTAGTTTGCTGGTGTCTGCCTGCCTTGTGGAGGAATCGTATCTTGGTGGGGCTTTTGTGTACTTCTGGTTCATCAGTTGAGGGAAAACCTCTGAGGAGGGGAGGCAGTGGCTCAGAAGAGACAGGAACCCAGACGAAAATGGTCCCCTGGCAGGAGTAAGGTGTACAAGGATTCCCCACTCTTCAAGCCTTCACATGAGAACAGGGAGGTCCCAGACACCTCCTCCTGAGGACCAGCAGTTGAGCTGCAGGTCCTCTTCTAGTCAGCATGCTGCCTTTGAAACACAGCCAGAGACAACCTGCAGCATTTCCCAGCCAGACCCTGTAGCCTTCCTACAGCTTTCACTGCAGAGGTGGTGTGAGGCTCTTAGTATTGCTTGCCCTCACATTGATGAGACAGCTAATGATGTAGCAGGATGTAGTGTTTCTCTTTGTAAGGAAAGGACTAGTTGAAGGGACAAGAGGAACAGGGTGGTTTAATTCAAAGTGCATACTCACACCAAAAAGTAACCTGAGAGAAGAACTGAGACTTTTTCAAGAGTAGCTGCTGGTTCCAGTAAATCCAAGACTGTGCTGGGTTTGCTCAGAAGACATTTCTAACCTCAAATCACCTCTCAGGGGCAACTTGTGTATGTGGAAAGCTATGAAATGTTCAGTAGTAGTTTAAACTACTTCTGCAGGGAGTGAAAACGGAATGCTAAGTCACAGAAATGGAGTTTCCTACTGAATCCCAAGTGAGATGGGCCAGGAACACGTAACTGTGAAAGCCTAGGGAATTGTGGTCCCAAGGACAAGACTGTGACTCGCTCTCACTTTGGACCATAGCTCCTGGGCCTACTGAGAATGAATACAAATCCTCATTGGGTTTAGAAAGTTTGGTGGAGTTTTCTCGGTATGTGTGTCTCCAGTTATTCCTAGAATCCTAGAATGCTTTGGGCTGGAAGGGACCTTAAAGATCATCCAGGCATCCCTGCCATGGGTAGGGACACCTCACACTAGGCTAGGTTGCTCAAAGCTCCATCCAGCCTGGCCTTAATTTCCTTAAAGACACAAACAAAATCCCCTCAATGTGGAACCAGAGCACATACCAGTTATGCGAACAGGTATGCTCGTGTACACTACCAAAGGTGAAACCTGTCTGTTAGATACAGAATTCATAGAATCATAGAACAGCTAGGGTTGGAAAGGACCTTAAGATCATCAAGTTCCAACCCCCCTGCCATGGGCAAGGACACCTCACACTAAACCATGTCACCCAAGGCTTCGTCCAACCTGGCCTTGAACACCACCAGGGATGGAGCATTCACAACCTCCCTGGGCAACCCATTCCAGTGCCTCACCACCCTGACAGGAAAGAATTTCCTCCTTATATCCAATCTAAACTTCCCCTGTTTAAGTTTTAACCCGTTACCCCTTGTCCTGTAACTACAGACCCTAACGAAGAGTCCCTCCCCAGCACCTCTATAGGCCCCCTTCAGATACTGGAAGCCTTTTTGCTGAGAATCCTAATCCAAATCAGTGTCTGTTTTTCAGCATCCAGTTATCCATAACAATCATGAACAGTGGTCCTGAGAAGAAAATGCTTTTAGGTGCAAAGACTGAAGACATCCTTTATTCAAGGATGTAAACCATTAGTGTAAACCAGCACCTGTACTGACTTCGCTCAACTCAAGAACATCTTGATTTCCATGACCTTGCCACTCCTGCCCCGGGACCTAGTGAAATCCAGGTTTCCTAACCTGCAGAGCAGCAAAGAGAACACATGCAATCCCAATTACCTGTGCACACAACCTTTGATTTGGTTGCCTGTAAAGCCACTCTGCTTGGGAAAGCAGATGGTGAGTTCAAATTGCCATTAATTTCTGCAGCAGGCTTTTCAGTGCTGCTAAACTCTGAAGTGTTTGCTGTGGTTAGAGTGGAAGGCAGGGAAGGACTGAAGGAATGAAATACCAGAGGAGACAGCAAAATCAGCTTAGTGCTGGGTGGCTGCAGGGCAGTAGAGGATCAGTGTAAGCCTCTGACACATGTGGCAGAATGAAGTGACTGCCAGTGAGTCTGCTCTTTAACACAAGAGAACAGGGCTTTACTGCTACTGAAGAAATGGATTTTTCTCTGTGGTACGTTGTTTTACAGTAGTACTCTAAAAACACATCGATAAATGTGCTAACACACATATTATCTCTTAAGATTAAAAAATCCCCAAACAAGCAAACCACCTTTAAGACATTGGTTAAACAGGTGCCTGTGGTATAGAGTGGGCAATTACTGCTTAAGCAAGAGTGGGAAGAAACCCAACCAACCCAGGGTTTTGTTTTCTTAAACTGTCATGACTGCCTCAGCAGAATTGCCTCACTGTGCTGTTCCACCACAAACGTTTCCAAGTATTTCAGGCTGGTACAGATGCTGGTGCTAGACACACCCACAAAAGCCCGGTACAGAGCTGGAAGAGCCTTTCTTTTCCTCCTTTCTCAGTTTCCACATATGCAAGAGGCTAAAGAACTTCATTCTTACAAAACACAAAGATTAGTTTGGTGAACTCCAGCACACTCACCAAAGACATTACCTCTTATCTGAGGAAACAAGCAGAACTGAGGTGGGCTCTTACTTTCCCTGGTAGGGCCCTAAACTCCTGCAAATAGGTCTTTACATCATCCTTTAGACCTTCTGTTAAACTTTTAATGTCATCTGATTCTTCAGCATTTCTATTGCTAAATACTTTTAGCAATAAAAGTATTTTAGTGCTTAAAGCTATCTCCGAAGCTTCAATGTTTTTGCAGTTGAAATTACATGAAATTACAGTTGTACATTCAATCTCTTATCCTGTATGGATCTGTCTGAACCATCTCCTCCGTAAATTTACCATTCGATTAAAAAATTCTTAATTATAGTCATACACTTCAGGACTGCAAATTCAAGGCTAACCCAGCCTACCTACATCAGGACAGGAC